AAAAAAATTGCATTGTGTTTAAATTAATAAACAATCAATAATGAATACCTCGAAAAAAATTTAAAAAAAATATAAACTACAAATTGCGTTACATTACAATAAATTAAACGATTCATGACTTCATGAAAGTTATAATTTTCGTAGCATTTTTCGGTACATGGTACGAGTTTTCTAAAGCTTTTTGTAGACTTATAGGTTGCAACTAACTAATGTTATGGTGAACTGCTCGCAGGGACATAACATATTTTATCATTGGTGATGTTTCTTATAAATTAACTATTGTCCATTCATGATTGTAAAGATAATGGCACTCGACGGACAAATATTTATTAAGCATATATTGTGTCATATATACTTAATAAATATTTTTTACACCGGCACAAATTGCCCATCGAGATATCTAAGTTGCATTTACTGTAGCTCATCATCGTGTTCGTGATACACCACAAGTGGATTGACAACGTAATATTGTCCTTGCATGTTGTTGGCGATCTGATGAAGTCGGGTTACCTACCTAAGTTACTAAGTTGTACATGAATCGATCATCATTAGGTTTACTTTCGCAAACACGGTTTTTGACTTTACATTTTTTTATATGCAAAAAACACTGGATGTGAGACAGCACAAAGCGGTGGCATTAAGAATTATTTAAAGCCATTACTTTGTGTCTGAAATTGGAGGGTGGGTGGTTGGATGGCCAGTTCCGGATGCGTAGATAATCGTAAGACCTAAACACGAATATCATGACAATAATTAATAGTTATTAATTGCCTCTATTGATTATTTTTTTTCAATGCAGGGGTGGTGGTATAAATATTTAAAATATACAAATTGTGCACGTCCGAGAACTGGACTGCACAGCCGAAAGACCACTTGATGATATTCAAGAACAATTATTCTCATATTTTCGCCTGAAAACCCGAAATCTGAAAAACGGCAAGCAAGTTGCATACCCCTTACTAATGCCGTAGGTCGGCAACCTAATGTGCACAAAGACGACTGCAACAATGACGGGAGGTGAAACACAAAGGATTCAATACATTACTAGTAAGTGTATGGAGTAGGGGACTCTGTAGTCGAATCGGTATCATGCAACGACCAGAGTGGAAAAAAAATAGGCACAAAATAGGACGAGTACTTATATTAACTTGAAAAGTAAAAAATACTAACATCTGGTGATGGTGGTCAGCAGGCAGAACTTAAAGACCTGTGCGGCTTCTCACACACCACGATGGATGCTGGCGGACTTACTTGGACGGTATTTGAGGCGATGACACGAGTGATGAACATTAAGGCAACCAGTATTCGACCAGCAACGTTAATTGTATCGGAGGTCATTTCGGTGCATTCAAAACGAAATAAAACTCACTTGACTTCTGGATCTACAGTTTGTACTTATTTATTTGCTGTTACTGATATGTACTTAGCATATCAAATAGCGCATGACAAATAATTTAATGTACAACGATAAAAGGGTGTTGGTAACGTACTGGTGACGAGGCACATATGAAAAAATAAAAAAGTATGTAAACAATAAGTGTACCTAAATTATGCGTAAGAATAATAATAATGATAATAATGGCATTGGCCGCACAAACAGACTAGGTACAAGAAATAAACAAAACGCAAAGATAATTAACAACCAAAAACAAAAACAATATATATGAAAATAGAATAATAACGATGATAAAAACACTCAAGGAACAACGGTAGGAGATTGTTGAGTGAAGAGTGGAACGGTAAGGCATTAAGCCACCTAATTAGCACATAGCTTTAGTCGACGGAAACACAAATGCTTCGAAGCCTCCACAATTTGATCCTGGCATTAAGTAAAAGTATTGAAATTACATGTTGTATATGCAATTTTCCAATGAAAGAAGTTTCAGTTATTTGAAATGATTTTATGATCAATTTAATTTTTTTTACTCACATAGTAATTACTAGGTACCTACCATATGAATATAAATTATATGTGTTATGAACTTATAAATCTTCACTTTTGAGAAGAAAATCAACAATTGTATATAATATTATGAATGGTTTATAATTTTCTATACACCATACAATTTTCAAAATATTTTTACTCATGTTGAATTATTTATAGGCAAATGAAATTTCCGATTACTATAATTTTTTTTTTATAAATCATTGTTGATAAAAAATATTTCGTTATTACAAAAAACTTAATAATTTAATACAAGTTTTCTTATAAGTTTTTGTTAGTGTGAAAATAAAAAAAAGTCAAGCGTAAGTCCACAATAATGTTTAGATTAAGAAATTTGATAAAATTAGTAAAAATCACCAAAATTTGATTATTATTTTGAGTTAGAAATTCATAAAAATTTATTTTTAAATCTAAGATTTCAAATTCAAAGTTCCTTATAAGTTTTTCTACTTTTTCAAAAAAAAAATGTTTACGGGGAAGTCAAATAAAATTTGTATGAGCGTTTATGGTTGAAATTTTTACAACGTAGGATATCTACTCGATTTTTCATATAGCAACTTTCTTATTTTGTTGTAATTCAAAAACAAATTACTGCATATACTTTAAATGTATATTTTGTATTTATTTTAAGTATAATATATACTTGTCAAAATATTTACACCTTCTGTTTATTTTATCTACACATATACTTGTCAAAATATTTTGACTAATTTTGAGCTGTGTACAGGCGTTTTCAATTTTCAATTTTCTTATTTTTTTTTCTCTGAATGTCAATAAAATTGTATTTGCTGGGTCAAAATGCTTGAAAATATCATCCAAGGCTCCTGATATATTGTTACGATATTAGTTGAAAAATATTAAAAATACGTACCTATATGCGATTTTATTTTATAAGCATTTAAAGTTCAAATTTGGGCAAAATTGATTGAATTGAAAATGTACAAATTATTTTGTAGTTGAACATTTATGAAATGTTAAGGATAGCTAAGGATCAAAAATGTAAAACAAAGTTGTACACAAGAAGTGAATTCTGTAACCAAAAAATCTAAAAGTTATATAAACACAGTTTTTTTATAGTTATTTTATGTTCAAATTTGGACGAAGTTTAAGTTTTATTATTTGCGGGTACTTACTACCTACTTGAAACTTTTGATTACATATTACATTTTATACACACAATGCGTTTTCAAATGTAATTTTTTTGGTAAAAATGAATTTAACCTACCAGAGTACTAATGCTTAGTAGTCAAATGAATTACTTTAATCTCAATAACGTCATCAAATATACCTAATTACCAAGTATTATTATTATTATTATTAGTATTATTATCTTCGCTCAGAATCATTCTTCGTACACAATAATTATTGATTATGTATCATTAAATTCAAATGTAACACTATATCCATTACAATGACCCATTTGTAACCTATTGTATAGTAGAAAAACACCCACTAACTTGCTTTTTATTTAAACATGTATAATAGTATTCAGTATTTTGTAGGTTTAGTTGAAAATAATTAGTGCACATGGGGCTAATTATTTCATGAGACCAGGTCTTGGAGAGGTATAATTATAATAACTTGATTATTTGTCAGTAGGATATTTTTTTGGTTTTTTCAAAAAAATGTGTTTGAGAGAATCACTTTTCTTTAGTAGTGTACTAGTGTCACAAGTCACCTTCCACCTATTCAGACGGTTTATTTGGAATCCTACACAAAATTTACTTGCGGTTTTTCATATTATTTTATTTTTCAAATCATTTTTTTTTCTACAGTAATACAACTTAAATCCTTTGAGAGTGAAATAAATTGAATGTAGGAACTTTATGTAAATTAAGAGTTTGATTAAAAAGTAAAACATACCTAGTACAAAGAGTGAGGACTGAGGAGTGTCATTTTAGCTAACCTAAAAAGCTATAAGTTGTAAAAGTACAAATAGACCAATCTAGTGTTTCTGCTGGGTAGCTACTCCCTTCAAGCATTCATTGCCAATATATCTTAAATCACATATTAAATCACATAATTATGATTACTGATTGTGTATATTCTAATACCTAAATGTTAGACAAATAATATATACCTACCTAATAAATTGTTCAATTCTGTTTTTTTACATTTAACTGAAATGGATATGCTTATTTTTACTTATTGAAAAATTTGGAAAAAATTATGTTTAATCTTGTGTTGCCATATTAGGTAGGAATGATATCCTAATAGCCTAATACCAAATTGTTTTATATCATGTACTAACTTTTTTTTTACATTTAATACCAACTATTTTTTGTTTGCTTCATCTTATACCTCAATGTATGTAATATGTAGGTTACATAAGAGTTAGGTTAGTAGGTAGTTAATATTTAAAGGATAGTTTTGAATTTAATTGATAAAACAAACATACAAAGATTTTCAAACTATGCAACAATTTGTATCTACAATAGGGTCATAGATTTGTTAAATTAATTAATATAATAACAATTCAATGATTAAAAAAAAAAACTGGGTATGATTAACCACAAAGATAGAACATTTGAATTCATTATTGATAATGATTAATGGCAGTAAATATGTATCGAAAATTGCCCAGAAAGAAGTTATGACATTGTGATCACTCATCAAATTTTTCATACGGATTACTAATATAAAAATTTTAATGTGCAATTTAACAATTCACTTCTGTATTTAAGATATACACAAGATTTAACGCCGTTGCCCTTTGGTGATTAGCTTTTGATTGGCAGCAGTCAGGCAACACCTGAATTCTTGCCGTTTAGCAATATCTTGTTCAGACTTGTGTTAGCCTCTAAGATTACATCTGATATTATGTAGAACAATTTAAAGTATGTCTTTGAAAAATGATATATTTCTAAAACAAAAATTGTGAAATTTATAATAATATAAATTTATCAAATCTATTTATTTGAACTATTTTAATATTAAATTATTATTCACAATAATTAAACAAAAAAATGTTATAAAATAATTTGATTTTAAAAACAAAAATTTATAGGTACTGAGTGAAATTGTCAATCTTCAACTGAATTGAATACCATAATGTTCATTCAAAAAACATTATGACATTTGATGTTGTTATCAATTTATCACCATCAAAAAAATTTGTTTCTATCCTCAAATCACCACTAGAAAAAAAATCATATATTCTTAAAAGATAGTTTGGTGTACAACATAATATTACAATTAAGTATATAAAAATATTGTGGAAGATTTAAAATGTTTTTCAATAAAATAGTAACTAATGACTGATTACCATTGATGATAATATCAATTTTAAAAATAATAGTAAAATTTAAGAATTTTTTTAACTGGGAGTAAGATAATACATTTTTGGAAAATCTCAAAAGAAATTAGGTAAGTTTAGTCGTGTGAGTCATATCCAATGACCACTTCTTCATACCTTTTTAAACTTTATCATAAAAAATATAAATGTTATTGAAGTAAGAAGACATTTAATTTTAATTTAATTAAAAAAGGTTTAGGTATTGTCTATTCAACGAGAGACATGCCTCAGACCAACGAAAATCAGCTCTTCTACTCTAGGCCGTATCTGTGAAGGGGGGGGGGTCTAAGGACTCATTTGAAATGTCTAGCCTCACCAGTTTTGCAGGCCACAGGACTCACAGAATCGGGGTGTTCTCTAACTGAACAGAGTATAGGTACCTTATAACATTTGCAAATGACGATGTAATTTCTTGTCTTCGTTCAAAAGTCGTTTCCCAGTTTACAACCAATCCGGCAAAAACAGTACCAAATTCATATTCAAACTCTTCAATGCAATCACCCTGTATGTATTTTTTTTAATTTAAAATTATTTTAGAAAAGAACTTTAGAGCTAATACATTTAGCTTATGTTGTAAAAATGAGTTGTATGTTAGTTGGTACCTGTAAAAATTCCTTGTGTTTCGCCTTAAAATGATTTATTCGATGCATAAAAGAGAAATTCGTGGTTCTGGTCACAGCTCTGCAATCCAGTATTTGTCTAGGTATGATGGCCTCATGTTCTATATCGGGCAGGGCACTAACACAATAATAATATATAGATATGTATTATTCATATATAAATAGTATGAACATTGTACATATATAGGTACATAAAATTTTAAAATCTAACCACCAATTTCAGTGGCGTACCCAGGATTTTCAATTAGAGGTTTAGGGGGCTAAAGAAAGTAAATTAAAATTTGATATCTGTTATCTTTTACTAGGTCGTTGTTACTATATCCCATTCCCATACTCGTATTCAACTTTACAAAAAATGTATGATGTGCAAAATGTTTCTACAAAACTATGTTCAAAAATAAAATGGATTATACTTTGCATTTTATTAAATACAATTTATACCAAATCAGAGCCAACTGAATACCCCAAGCTACACCACTGAGCAACTTGATTTTCTACGGGAAATATTCTAAAACGATCTTACTAATTTTCATTTGTATGCCACACTACTACTCCTGTATCGTTGTCGATTAGATCGATCCAGTTACTATAACAAACAGTATAGTAATAATAATAATAACGATAATGATAATGATAACTAAACATTAAAACCGACAGTATACTAGTATGGAGAACACTCTACGACTTACATACGGAATCCACTTGAATCGTGCTCAGATTTTTGTTGCATCACAGGTACCTGTCAATGATAAGCAGCAATAGTATGTAAATTAATTACAAAAAAAAAATTGAATATATTGTCAATATGGCTGTGGTTTTATGAAATACAATCACGGACTGTGTACCACGATTTAAGAAATACTGGTTGTCACAAGACGGCCATGAACTAGGGATGTGTAAAATATCAAATCACGTCAACTTTACTTTGTCACCGTGGCAAGTGTGTCACTACTTGTCACTGCGACACAATTTGTGCTTCATGGTGACAATGGTGACACACTTCGTAAGAAAAATATGTATTGGGTGGCCGCACTGGTCACTCTGTCACTATCAAGTCACTATCAAATATCACTAAGTAGTTGTAAAGTATAATATTCCATAACCTATTTGGTGACACGGGTAACTTAATCCTTTAGGTAAATATGGTATAATGTAAAATGAGTGGTGGTGACCAGTCACCATAAAAAAATCGGTGTGAAATTTAAATCGCTGTCGCCAGAGTCACCGAGACAATATTTTGTCCCTTCTTACCACATCTACCATGAACTGACTAGTAATATAACCAGTAGCGCTCCAATCTACAGTATCACATTGAACCGACTATAGGTATTTAGATATAAAATTAGTTCTAAATATCGACACTTCGTGCTGCATACACTCAATTTGTATGTGGCAGGGATGTCGACCAGAAGTGATGCAATGATAACTTGTGGTTAACGTTAAAATCACTACGAAGTAAAGATATTGGAGTTTATATAACAAGAACCGTAAGCACCCGAATCAGTAGTAATGAGTCACAATCGATAGTCTGTGTATACTTACCTGCAATCGAACGTTTCGATAGTCTCGACAATCAATAAATTGGTATTTTTATAATAATCGACAATCATCCTCGAAACTTGTCGAATGCTGAAACAACAAAATGTCTTCATAATTCAGCAGTATATTAAAAAATATATGTATTATTAAAATAGTAGGTACCTACATAGTTTCAATATAATTATTGAACGATAGTCAAAGTCAATGTAATTAATGAAAAATGTCGTCGAACAACATTGCAAAGAAGAGACGATGTAATACCTATCCTACATCCTTATCAGGACATATTGTTGTCATTTTGTTGTGTTATACACACTTTAGTAGTAGCAATATCTGAACAATCTTGTAACCGTATAGTTCTTTGACTTTTTCATCTTTAAGTAAATAAATTTAATAAATATTATAACATATTACCAAGATTATATCACACACACTCAAATGTGTTGTCTTACAGCAATATAAATGTATTATGTCATAAAACATGTTAGCTACCTATGATTATAATTAATATTCAACTATTATGAAATTTCAATCAACATTTGGTAGTTTAATAAATCAAAAATAGTGCACTAAAGCGTTATTACTTATTGGTATTATTTGCAACAAAAGTACCCATAAGGATTGAAATAAAACACCCATATTTAAATATTTCATAATTTTTATCGTGATCATATTGTACCTAATTATTTTGTTATTTTTTTTATTAAATATAGCTACTAGTAGCTAAACTAGACGGCTGACAATAACTGTCATTATTATTTAGTATTACAATAATTGCTACGTAGTATGTAATAACATTAAGTTAAATATTCCATAGTCTATGTTAATATTACTAGTAATACAGTTCTTATTTATTGTTTTACTATAACATAATATATGATGAGAAACACAGTGACAGGACGATTATTTAATAATTAATACTATACTATAAGTATCGTTCCTTAAACTATGATTAATGGGTAGTGTATGTACCCGACACAGAGGGCTGATCGAAAAAATAACACTCGGTGGAACCAAAACTAGTAATTATATGCACGGAGTGCTATTTAACGCCTACTAGTGTTTGGGTAGGCAATCTAACCAACGCGACTGACCAACGAAGAGTTGGCAAATTCTGTCACAACATCTGTTACATAGGAGCAGGAAGATGCAGTTTAAGTACAAGGGGGGGGGGATTTTCTCTACGACCCCATCGGTCTGGTGCAATGATCGTAGAGAGTGCACTTACAGGGGTGATAATTCTTAAAATTAACTTAGGTCTAAGGCAGTTGAATGATGAGCAGCTTGCCGGTGAAAGATAGAACTGGACGACTGTGGTGGCCTCTGGCCTCTCACACACCGCTACGGGTGCTGGCGAACTTTTACGGACCGGGCAAACGCTTTGAAGTGAAGGTTGACTAAATGGTTGCAAAGAGACCCAGAAAAACATACAAAACTAGTTCATATCATCAGTTGGGTTACAGAGCTGTTCCCAGACAAATTGGCAAATGGACCTATTTACCAGAAAACTGCCTTTGGTTGGGTAGTCACAAGAGCCATACAAATATATAATAGTACGTGCCTAATACCGAACATACGATACTGGTATCAGGCAATATTACTATAAACAAATCAAAAAACAAATTTCAAACTTTTGAAGTAGAAGTAGAATAGAATATAATATATTTTTATAATTTATTTTGTAATCCAAATTTTAAAAATACATTTTTCAATTATACTAATTATTGTAAATTTATTCACATTGAAATTTTGATGGCCGGGGAGGGCCGGGGCTGAGATCTGTACTTTAAACTTCTGGAGGGACTTAGTCCCCTCTAGCCCCCCCCCCTCGATTTCCACCTATGCTCGGCGGTGTACTTACACTCAAAGCAGCCGTTAAATTACATAACGCAATAGTGGTGATTACAAACTCGGCTGAATTTTATTTACGGAAATGGGTGTCAAACGATAATTAAACGTAATCCCAAATGAGGTCAAGGTGCTCAATTTAGACAGTAGCGCTGTTTAAACACTAGGCTTGAGTTGAGTTCCTGATAACGATACCTTTATATTCGATAACGTGAACAATAGCAACGTCATTGAGAACTCCCTGCATTATCTGCAATCGCAACAGTATATGATCCGCTGTCATTAATATAGTACCAGTTGAAGTCGAGGTGAAAATTGTTATGCAACAATTATAGACAAATAAAATCGGCTGGTGCTTAAAACTACCACCGCCGTTACACAATGCATGGAATGCGTATTACGAAAAGTTAACTGAAATAGAACAAATACGTATACCACGGTTCGTAGTGTGAGTCGACAAACCACACCATATACAAATACACAGTTTTGCGAGTTATACAAAATTATAAATTGCGGTAATTTATTAACAATCGACAGAAGAGTATCCACGGCAATCACATTACTCGCTTGATAGACGACAAATCACTAGTAGCCTCACTAAAGGTAATTTCTTTAGCCAAACTAAAATTATGTGCAACAGTTTTACTTGTATGCTTGGTAAATAAAATACTGCCTAATTTTCACGTTAATTGTATCCGACGCTATATCTGGCCCAACTCTACAATAGTTTGGCGTGGATAAGTTCACCAGAGTCCAAATGGAAAACCTTTGTAGAGCATAGAGTCGGTGAACTGCAACAATTGTCCACAATAACAGATTGGGCACATTTCAAGTCCAGGGACATTCCCGATGATGTACTTTCTAGAGGTTGTAATGCAAAACACTTACTTGAAAATAAACTGTGGCACCGTCTCCCACAGCAATTAAATGTGACATAAAAATATTAAAATATCTTAACCTACGCCATTGAGGCGATAAAAAATAATTGTAATCCGCTATGTACTTTCCATCCTTAATCCATTTTATATTTTTTGAAAACAAAATCTGAAAAACCTTTGTGCTAATAAGTATGACACTTACTTAGTTAAGACAAATAATTATAAATACTTCCATCTATTTAAAAGCATTATTAGAAATAATTATGGGTACACAAAGATAGGGACCTTAAGGGTTTAGCCCCCTAAATAACTTCAATGCCTCCGCTCCTCAATTCCTTAACATTGTCTAATTTTTTTTTAATCTTATTCAATATGACAATGTAAAAAATAAAAAATATAATGCTTCAGTCATCAGCATTCAGCCTCTCCCATCTTAAACACTATTTGTGCAAATGGAAACAATAAAAGCAATATATGACTAACTATAATATAATAATATAAGCCTTAAGTAGTTTGAAATATTATTATTATTATTTCAAAAACATTAGGAAATCACCTACAAACCTATTATAATTGCATTTTGCATCATTATACAATTTATACTAGTAATAAGTATCAAAAACGTGTTTTATTAAAAGATACTTTTATGTTAAAAATGTGCATTGAATTGTAATGAACAAGTTATAGTGAATAAAATCCTCAATTTACACTCAAACATAAATAGATAAAACATTTTTCTCTTTTTTATAACTTGAGATAATCTACAGAACTTATAAAATTAAATTAAGGTGCCCATGTGATGCATACCTGTTTAATCATAAATATGAAAACTGGGCTAGAAATGTAGTTCTAAAATAAAAATCTACTACCAAGATATGAATATACCCATATAAGTCTTTCCACATTAAATAGAAAAAAAATAAACAAAAGTATAGATAAATAATAAGTAGAAATAACAACAGAATAACATATTTCTATATAATAGCATAAAAGTTGCATTTTTTATAAATAGTTTTTATTTATTTTCTGATTCACAAAATGTATTTTAAAAATATAAATGTAAGCTCCGTGATGATTGCATACATTTTCAAATTGAAAAAATAAAACCATATTTTGTTAATTCATGTTGATGGGTACTAGTTCCAAAATTAAAATTACATTTTCCGTTATTAATTTTGCATTTATTTAATTAAACAGTAGATATAACTTGTACACATATTTTGTAAACAGAAGTAACTGATATTTAAATTGTATTTTTATCACATCATATATCATAATTTTTGTAAGACATTTAGTTTCTTTTTAACACAATGAAGAGATTGTATTATATCTTTTTGAATTTTTGAGTGCATTAATATTGTATGCATATTTAACAACAATTTTTGCATGAAGTCTGGGCTTTATCTATTAATTATTACTTATTAGTTATTAAATTATAATTTAAACAAAAGAACATAATAAGTTGTTTTTAAATAATGAGTGTTTTAAGCAAAAAGAGTGCTTTTCAGGTAGATGCGGACTGGGTCAGCGAAACACCAGGAGCTTTCCTGGTTAGGTCGCTGCTCAAAAATAATTTGTTATTAAATATTTATTATACAATCAGTATAAATAAAAATTATAAATTTTGTGAAAAATTGCTAATAATTATTTATATAATAATAATTAGATTTTTAGATTTTGGTTTGGCTGATTGTCCACCTCCTTTGGCATCAATGCATTATAAGAAATTATTATTCATAACTGGGGAGTGGATTAAAATACAAATTTTTTTTTAATTTTCTTAGACATTGACTTACAAGCAAAAAATTTAGTTTATTCATCATTGAATTGAAAATTGAAACTTTTGATTAGTATTTTTTTTAACTTTTTTAACTTTTTTTTAAGGTTTTTGAACATTTGTTCGGCGTTTTTGAGACATTTTTATGGTTTGAAGTCATTTTTTTAATGATGGTGTTCTATTTTCCTTGAGCAAACGTAGTTTAGTAAATTCAATATAATAGTATATACTCAACATCAAGACCGTTTGTCTGTTATGTTATATACTAAACCACTACTTGTGGTATTTAATTTATTACAATACGTGAAAAAAATTTTAATTTATTAATTGTTAGTAGGCAATTAATTGTATTATTTGAGTCTAATAGTAAATAGAAACAATATAGTAACCCTAGTACAGTGGCATAATTACGGGGTTGCACGGCGATGCACTTACAGCACCTGGTATTATAATATAGCAGGTGCAAAAATATACTTTTGCACCTGCAGACACTGAACTTTATACCTACCTATTGAAATAAAATATATTTCATTGATTTCTCGAATTTTTTACTAACTTATTTTAAAAAATTGCTATCACTAATTCATTTCTTACTAATATTATATTTTTTTATATGTATTATATACTATGTACAGATACACAACATACAGAGTTTAAAATATACAGATTTTGATATTTCAATATTTGTTTATGTTAATTGTTATCAAATATAAAAAGATACCTATAGTACACCCGATCAAAGTGATTAGTTTTAAATATGACTTAATTTTTCTTTACGGTTATTGGACCAATAAAAGTTTTGCGCCTCTTGAAATTTAATGGAATTAAATGAACCCTACAAATTATAACAAATTTAATAGTTACTCGTGGTTACCTGTTTGACGTTGCTGACTGCAAAATACTCAAACATTAAATTAATTTACGGGAAGGTTATGATAATAACGTCATAGATAAAGAAGTACTGAAGGTTATGATAAAGGTTACGGAATATTATGGAGGAAAATTTTACACCAGAATCAGTGTTTATTATATTATACTCTGTTCTCCAAGATACCAGAACCGTTTCGCGCATACGACTCACGGGAATACGAACCCTCCCTTCAATATCCCCTTTCTACGAATACAACTATTTTGTATACGTACTAACGTACTACGTAGTGAGTTCAAATAAACGTGTCAGCAGTTATCATAATATGCTACGTATTATATATTTATATCAATGATAATAATATAGTAATATTCTACTATAAAGTACATATAACATATTTTTTAAATTAATTATTTAAAAAATAACACGAAACGCTCTAGAACATATGAATTGAAGTCATAATACAAAAAAACAGGGCCCGAATTCTGAGCAGCTGGCGGTCGCCTCAAGAGTGAAAGTGGTGGAGATCGACGAGTTTTCGTCCTCCGCGCAGTTCAGGTCTCTTGGCCGATAGAGTCTACTTATATCCGCTTTTGCCCTTTTGGAATATTATGGCGACTTCCTTTAACCTAAATAATACTAATACATTTGAATTCCTTCCAACTCCATAAATAATATTTAAACAACATTTTGGTTTTGCTTAAAAAATGTATTATTTTTGGGCTTAGATTTTAGAATAAGCCATAAGACCCATGATTTTGTACCTACTCATATGTACAATCGTATTAAGTAATACACAATACATCGTTCATTAAGTTTGGCGACACTGGTTGTGGGCCATATCTCGGTGTTGTTGGCATCTTGATTGTATATAAACCTTCAAAGAAATTGTACATCACACATGATAAAATGGACACGCATTCCTGTTGTATTGTCATCGTCCATAGTAAATGTGAAGACAGAATAACGCCCGGAGCGCTATCGTACTGATGGTAAGCCGGTTGGCAAACCTACATCGTACCTGGATACTATTATCAACTCGTCAAAAAAGTACTGATTTAATCATTTTTAATAACCAATTCGGTGTATCTTGTGCAGTTTTCTTTACCTTATTAAAAACAGTTGTATTGAACAAAAGAAACTATTTACAATATTCATTTTTTTTACATCTACTTCTTTGATATACACGCAAATAAAAATATGGAGTTGAATCATTTGCAATTGGCTTTAAATACCGTCCAGACATTAAGATTGGAGCTAACACAGTTTTTCATTGATATTTGTGAAGGAGTAAAAGATGATGGTTCACAAACAGGCTCAAATCAAAACCGTTACTTGTATACTCTGAATGAAATGATTGGAAAAATTGGAATTCGTATGAGGTTTAGTTTGATTTATAGTACATTTTAATGTATAAATAATTGATAAAATTAAACTTTCCTAAATTTTATGACTGAGTGTAAATTTTAATTTTTAGGGATCTTCAGCAAGTTGTTGGGTCTTTATCTAATCCTCCAGGTGCTATGTCATTGCAAAACACATCATTCTTAACGCAAGAAAGTACACCCGATCGACAAGCATTGTATCCTGCACTTCTGTCTTCTCATAAATGGCTTGATAATGTATTATAAATCATAGTTAATTATATTTTGATTATAATTAAATATACATTATTTTGTTTTTAACTAATAAAGTTATATGATTTTAGGTACATGAATCTAGTTCAAACGCTGTACAAATTTTAAGACAAAATTCATCAAAAAAATTGTATTCAAATTCCAGTTTGAGTAAGAAGAAACAACAACAGTCAAGTTTGCATAATATATCACATAATATATCATCACAGTAAATATCTAGATACATTCTAATGATTTATAAAAATTAATGTTTAATTTAATGAGGTGTCTAATAATTATTTTTAGAGCTGTTGATGTTTTATTGATTAATATTAGTCGGATGTTTCCTGAAATGAGTATTAAAATATCAAGGCGCTCTGCATCGACTGTTGTTCTATTGGTAATATTGTTTTAATATTTATTTTCTACTTCACAATTTAAGTAAAACACAAAAATATAATATATTATTTATTTTCATTTTAACTGTTGATAATATTATGGGAAAAAGCTTTGTACTTCTACTAATTTTTGTTTTTTCTAAGTTTTTTAATTTAGTCTTAGTGATTGTTGCTCTCTTTTCTATGGAAGTAACTCCAAAAAAAAAAACATTGTAACTTTTATAAAAATATGTAAAACCAATTTTTTCTATTATTCATCATGTAATATGTTTAAGTGAAAAAATCCTTAGAAGGAAGATAAGATAAATAAAAATGATCCTCTGTTGTAATGCCAATTTTAACTTTAAAAAAAATTTTTATGTGGGTAAAAATATTATTTATTTTTTGACAAACAAACTTAATATTATTAAGTTTTTTTTTGACATTATATAACCATCAATAACAATAATGATTTACAATGATGAGGGCAACTTAAAACTAATACCAACGCTTAGATATTGATTACAATTGATATAATGATATGTAGGTAACCCTACTTGATTAGTAAATATGATGGTCAAAATCTGATTTTTATCCATCATATTTAGTGTAAAAATATACAACTAATTTTTTTTAATTTTTATTGAAACCATTACAGTTTTGGTATAACTTCCAATGTATTCAAGAGCGACAACTGTTTAAAGCACTTTCAAATTAGCTGTTTCAAACATATTACATTTTTATGTATAATTACTAAATAATTGGGTTTATTCCATATTAAGTATTAATTACTAAATTGATAATATATATAAAACAACTTAGATAGGTAATATGCAATATGGTGGATAAAATATATACAATATAATATATAATGTATGCAATATTGTCTTATCGAAAGTATTTTTCTCAAAAAGTAAAATATATCAAAAATTAATTAAAATATTGTTTTCATTTAGGTTACCTTAAGTAAACTTTTACATGCCATTATATCATTTAAAGGAGTTATGATGGAATCGGTTGTTGTAAAAGGATTTGATGAGCCTATTAATCTTAATGATTTACAACAGGAGTTTTGGCAAGAATCAAGATATTTTGTGTTTCGTAAGATAACTGAACATGCTAATATAGCTATGGCACATTTTTTATCACCAACATTGCCAGATCTTTCAGTTCGGTCATTCTTGGTAGTTTTAAATGAAAACTTTTTTGTTTTAATTAAAAATATGAAAATAATTGTTCATTTTTTTGTTTTATTTACAGACTTGGCTCAATAGTTATTTGGTATTATTCAAACAACCATGCAAGTTTTGTGGAAAAATAGAGAGTGAAGGATGCCCAGCAACTTGGAAAGATCTAAGGACATTAGATCCATTCCATTATAAATGTGCATTTTAATGTTAATGTTAAAAAGTTAAAATTAATTAATTAATTTTAATTTTTAATTTTTAAAGTTTATTATTATTATTTTATATTTACAATAATCATTCAAAACCTTTGTAAAATTTATTTCATGATTAAGAATTAGTATTAATTATACCTTAATTAAGTTATAATTTTAAAAGTGAAATAAATATAATTAATTATATTTAATATGAATAATTTTCTACACTATTTTATCAACAATTAAATGATGAAAATTTTTTTTTTGCAATTTAGCATTACATTAAATCTCCTACTACTCTTTTTAAATGATTCTTATCATTGATTTTCCTCATAATTCACCATTCTATGTTTCCATTTTATTATTTCTTTTAACTTCAGTTCTTAAATATTGATGTTGTTATGTGTCAATTTGCATTGAAATGACCTCTAATAGTTTTCATATTGTATGTTATGTAATTGTTACTAGTATAGTAGTATATAAGTATATACTAAATAGGAAATAGTAGTCAAATTACCTTGACTTGGTCAAGCTACTTCTATGCAGGTGGCTAGGAGACGATCACTTAACCTAACCAACCAGTATTTTATTTAATTTATTTAAATCAATTATTAAATAAATAAAAATAAAATGATAGTTTATGAAAGTGAAGATAAATTACCGAAAAAACCCAGATTGTAATAAATTATTGATATATAATAAATCATATAATACGAGTATATTATTTATTATATTTAAATACCTATGTGTATATATAATATATATTGTAACTATTGCTAACATATTACATTCAAATGTTTAAGATTTTTTTAATATACAAAAGTAAGTAAAAAAAAGTTTAAACAAGTATTTTTGAGAGGCCCTTTGAAAAATTTGCTTTCTTGAACCTTTAAATCCCATACTGACGATGCATGTGAACTGTGAAGGTACACTTTGAAAGAAACACTTCAGTTATTCTTATCATTTATCATACTTTAGAACCCAATTGACTACCAATAGTAAACAAAATTCTGTTTTTGTATTCAGAATTATTTAGAATTTATTTTAGCATCAATTTGTTATTTTTGAGCATATAATAATATGGTGGATAATGGTTATAAGTGGTTTTTAATAATAATAAATAAATTATTGTTACTTATTAGTAATTATACACTAATGATATTTTTTGGTTTTGTAAAATAATGAATTATAGGTAAAAATGTATGTAACAAAGTAATTTATTATTCTGTTGAATATATCAAGGTAATATTTTTGTTTTACTGATGCTAAAGAAATTCTTATGTATGCATTTACCATTCCGCACATAAATTAAAACCCATTAGTAAATACGGCCTTCTTATTGGTTTAGATTTGGCACAATAATAAATTCAAAAAAATGTCTTATTATTATATCATCTAATATTTAAATAAAATTAATTTGACCATTGATTGTAATGATTTTAACAACATTAAGGTAAAAAAAGAATATGAAATCAAATTTATTATTATAATATCTTATCATAGGTCTTTCAATTAACTTTCATAGTGTCATGTAAGTACCTACTTATTAAGCTTTACCTTTTTTAAATTTGAACAGAATGTAATAGTTTAATTTTTATTAAATCCATGCTCAATAAGCATTCATGATAGTGTAATGTGATGAAAAAAATAATTTAATAGATCTAACATTAAGCATGATAAAATATTTAAATTATTTATTATTATTATAAAAAAAGTGCACAAATTGTTATATCTTTAAGCAAATGTATCAGTAATAATTACTAATTACCATTCTGTTATTCAATTAATTACAAATTTTATAGTTACCTACTGTCATAGGTACCAACTCAAATAAAATAACAAATAACTACAACAATAATAATGATAAACTGGGCTAGTAAGTTCATGCCCTAAAACCGCCTAAATAAGCATGCATTTATGTGCACTAAAAAATGACACTATTTACTATAGTAGATCAACATAAATTGTACTTTAAATCTGTCATAATACTGTTATCAACCATAATGCATCTGATATTGTCATCTCGTCATACAAACACTCTTTAAAAGTTTATACATGAATTGAAATAACATAATGCTTCAGCAGTATTAATATTATGATGATGAATATTTGAGATATTATCATACTTAAGTACTTATTCTATAAACTTAACATATTAAATGTAAATAGTTATTACTAATAAGAATAACTACTAATATAATGTCAAAATGTCCACCAGTCACAAATAATTCTTATGTACATTATTAATTTATTAACAACATCAGATGTATTTTATTTTTGGAATTCAGAATAATATTTTGCATATTTAACATTATTAATGCTTATTTTGCATTTTTTAGCTCATACAACTTCTGAGCCTTACTTAATAGTATTTAATTTAAAATTTCAATTTTTCAGTAAATTAAAGATTGTTTGATGTGCCTACTACTAATAAGTAAAAACACTAATCAATAGTACCTAATTGTATGTTTTTCAGTTGATTATTTTACTATTTTTAAATTCAGTATTTCAATGTTTTAATTTTTTGTATGTAGTTATTAATATTTTATTTTGTGTTTTACTCACCTTCACAAAAGTCACTTTTGCTAGTAGCTACAGTGTCTATTTTCATAGATGCTTTACAAGTCTTTTTTGTTGAATGTTCTGTCTACTTTATAATAAAAACTATGGTGGCAAACATAATTTTTTCTGTAAAGCAGTATCATAGTATCATTTAAATTACATTTCTAGTATAATAATTTATTTAGATCACAACAGGGGTAGAGTGGGAACCAAATCCAGGCCGTTAGACCTAACTACTATTTCTTTTAACTTCTGTCTTCTAACGCATTATACAAATATAACATTAATACATGAAAGTCTGAAAAATAAAATTAGTAGGTATAGTTTTATAATTGAAAGTTTCAAAGTTTCAAAGTTTCTAGTTGTATGTACGATATAGGTATAATTATATAGATGGATCATTATTTGTACCTAATCATCTAACACTATCCTATCTAATATCTTTAATGAGATATCTAGGTACAATAATACGATTTTTGTCTCAACATGGACCACTCTCCCCTATTAGCTAAGCTCGGCCATGCTCTGTTGTAGCTCAGCCTGAAATACAATTAATGCGAAAGTAAATAAACCTAATCTTGATTTATTTGGAATATGAGTGTCTAAAAAGTCAATGATCACATGTGTAAGGAATTATCCTTAAGTGCTTTGTGGCTTTGTGTCGTTGCACATCCAGTGTTTTTTTTATACCTATGTAAAAAAGTGTAAGATAGTAAACCTTGATTGTGAAAGCAAGTCAGTCATCTCAAATGAAAATCGATTCACGTACAACTTAATCACTTAGGCAGGCAGTCCGACTGCATCAGATCGTCAACAACATGCAACCACAATATTATGATGTCGACCATTTACTTGTGGTATATCGCCGACACGATGATGAGCTACAGTAAATGCCAGTGGCGCACAGTCCATGTTTTAAAAACCCTTCTACATTTCTCATCAACAACCAAAATAGTAAAGTTTGAAAGTATAAAATAAAATTTAAGATGGTATGAACATTTTGTTTGTTACCTACCAAGAACAATATTTCAACAAATCACAACTGTTATAATCAACTAACAGTATAATAACGGACAGTAGGATGATGAGTGATGACAATTACAAATAAGGCGTAGGTGGTATAATAGATAAATAATAATTAACCAATATGATCTGGTTTGACTTTAAGGCTAAAGGTTTTTTTACAATACCTAATTTATACAATCATTTTTACGATTTATCTATTAATATAAAACTATAAAAGTTCACATAAACATAATATTATTCATTATGTGTTGAACAACTTATAATGAAGTTTTTCCTACATCGTGTAACTTGTAAAAAATATTTCAAATATTAATCGGAGTATTAACAAATTAACTTAGTATCTACTAAATATATGGAAATAAATAATTAATCTACATTAAATGAATTATCTACATCTACACGATTTGAATAATTTGATTGCTTTAAAAAGATACTTCGGTGTTAGACATTGAAACACTATATATACCTAATTATATTATTATACGTCATATTGTATTACTTGTTGAATTCGGATAAAATTGTGAGTGAAGAGATTTTAAAAAAAACGGTTGATAATTATTTTATTGTTTGTAAGTATAATGAGTTAACAAAACATCAATCCCATCAAACTGTCCGATGAACATCATAGAGGTCTGCCACTCAACCTAGTAGGTTATACCTTCTTAATTGAAAAATAGGTGTCGCTTAAATATACCTAAAACTCACTAAATGTAATATTTATAAACATACAAAATAAACGCAAATTTTAATATTTAGTTGCCTATGCATGCAATCGAAGGCGTTAGATACTTACGAGTTCTAGTTATTTAATTCGCGATGATACATAATATTATACAACTATTATTGAGAGTTTTCACATTATTTGAAAAGAAAAATTGTTTCATTGAATTAAATTATAATATGTTATGACTAATAATATAATATACGTTTCAAAAATACTTTATTGTTGTACCTCATACCTGTGGCCTGTCACCTGTTGTAGAGAAATTATTCTCAAATTTTGAGTGAGCAAATAATAATAATAATATTATTTAGATAATTTTTGAAATATTTACGCGTTTTTCGAAGGTCAAAAATCGATATTAATATTTATATCGCATTCAAATAGGTAGGTAAAAAGTGGGCAATCTCAAAAATAATAGAAGTTGATAATTAATGTTCAATACCCATAATTATTTAAAATTGATTTGTGTTGGCTAAAACTTATATAATTGGATCAATCTATTTATGTTATTGTTTTCCATTAAGGGTTTTATGAGCAATTTATAAATCGATATTTATTTGCTTATCATTAGACCAGGTCCTCGGTGAGACGTTCTCGAGCGACGAGCACTAACATTCAAAGCTAGTCATACCGATAGATTTTGTTAAACCACATGAGTGCGCCACGGGTACCTACATATTTTATTCGCATCTGTTATTGTTA